TAAGGCGGGGGTGGGTATGGGAGCGGGGGTGTGAGTTGGTGTCGAAGTCGGGCGGTCTCTCTTAACGTTCTTCTATGTCAGATAAAGTTATGGTCCACACCCCCCTCCCCCCTCCCCTCACAATCGAGTAGGGAGGGAGGTTGTCCCCTGCTTTAAGTCGGCATCTGCAACAAGGAGAATAAATTTTATTAATTAGTGTACGTAACACTTACTATGTAATAAAATAAAAACAGAACAATACATAATAAACTTAAAACATATAACTATGCAATAGACAGGTAAACAAAACTATAAAGTGCAAGGTACAACTATTAAAATCGAAAACACAAGACTACGCAATAAACTGAAATACCTCGTGTCATCGTTTTCAACTAGATTTAACGAATCCACGAATAAGCTATTCACACATTGAAATATCGTTGAAACAGTTAATCATGAAATTTTTTAGATAAATGAGTTAAAAATTATAATGAAAAATGTCTTACTCAATAAAGGGTTGTATTTCGTCGCAATTAAGAAGAACATAAAATGTTGCTGCTCGATCTTCCTGATAATTATGTTAATGTGATGTGCACCTCTCCGATGCTTTACCTAACTTCTAGAAAACTGAAATGGTCGATGGTGACACCAAACCCAATGACTATTTCATGGAATTTTTTTTTTGTAAAATAGTAGAAGCAGAATGTCGTTGTCTATTGCAGTAAATATGCTTTACATATCAATCCTTATGGTCGGGCCTTATTCTTCACAGTTCCCTTAAGTTAATCCAAAATCATAAAAAATAAATGCCGCTCAGTACAAATTATTAATATTCTTCATAAATGAGTGACTAACTATCTAGTCCCAATATAATTACTTCTTAAACGGATCCATCTAGCATTACTGTATTGGACCTCTAATTAATGCCTTGTGGGGTAAGTGTACGCGGAGCTGCTCCATCTAGTTGAGAAAATTAGGCGGTACATCCATTAAGAAGTAGTTGCCACAAATTCATCGACACCGTTCAAAAACTCCTTGGTGATCCATTTTCTTTTCGGATAAAGTCTGTTGTACTTCCATGATCTCGACGTACAAATGTCTGTGTATTTTCAAATATGAGAATAATAAACACATTATAAAATGCATTTAATTTTTTTAGTAGATATACCGACTGCTTGGTAATAAAAGTTGATGAGAATATTAATCATCGCATTTTAAAAGGAGTGAACGTTTTAGATAGTTTCGAAGTCAGAACGTTAACGTACTGCTGAGGCTGTTAGGGCTTTCAAAGACCGATTATTGATGAACTTTTATCCATATTTTCCACTAATCTTCGTTGTCACTGTTGCTACAACAATCCTTTCGGAGACAAAATATGAGAAAAATATATCTGTGCGAAGGTTAGTGTAGCTACAGTGACATACAATATTAGAGGGAGTCATTCTAATGGATTAAGAATCAATGTTTTACCAATAATGATCTTCAATGGAACTATCATGATTAAAATGTCAAACGATCTAACTTGTAGTAGATCTAGTTTTCAGATCTAATATTGTCCGTCACCGTAGCTACACTAATTCTTGCACGTATTTATTTTATTCGCATTTTATTTTTCAAATAGAAAGCAAACCATAACACTAAACATACTCGTCACTGCAAATCTCATACGCGATTGACTGTACACCTGGAAATATGTTCTTAGAATGAGATATTTCATAAGATGTACGGGTTTTCACTACATCCTCAAGTGCGAAGTCTAATTTCCACATCTAGAATGAAACACATTGAAATCTAAGTTATCAGCTCAAAAATGGTAATTCACTTTGAAATCTAATTTACATTGTCAAAATGAGAATTGCGCAATGAAATTTAGATTTTGATGGGAATTTTCATCTTGGATCTGATAAATTAGATTTCGAAGTGAATTTCTATTTTGATTATGAAAATTAGTTTTCACACTGAAGGATGTAGTGAAAGTTCTTACATTTTATGAAATATTTTCTTTTAAGAACATATTTCTAGGTGTTCAGTCAATCGCGCAAGGGCTTGCGACAACGAACATGTTTAGTTTTATGATTGACTCTATAATTGGAAACAAAATACGAAACAAATATGCCCGTAATAGGGTTGGAGTAGATACAGTTGTAGACAACATTAGAAAGAGACGTCATGAAATCTAAATAAACCATTGAATTAACTTTTTCTTAATATGAAACAACAATTACCACTTGAAAATTGATTTATTTTAATTTTTACTCCAATTTCCTTAGAGCCGAAAATTGTTAATCTCAAAATTAGACGTTAATAGCTTGCTGAGGCTGTTAGGCTGTCGAAGATCGACAATCAGCGAATATTTATCAATATTTTATCTCTAATATTGTTTGTCATCATAACTACACCAGCTCATTCAAAAGTATATTTTGTACAAATTTTATCTAGAAGTGTAAAACCAGTGATCTGTATGGGGTTTGTGATTGACTTTTCATTTAGAGACAAAATATGAAATAAATATATTTGTGAGCGGGCTGGTGTAGCTACAGTGACATCCATTATTGGAGGGAGACGGTTTAATCAATTATGAGTCAATGTTCAACCGTTTAATGATCTTCTACAAAACTAACATACTAAGATGTTAAATGCTCCGACTCAGAGCTAATATGATATAGTTTCCAACCAAACAACTTAAAACTTACTAATTAATCACATCCTCATCTATGTCACCATCACATTGACCGAGAGACCCGCGATAACTAGAACGTTCGCACCGTTTAAATAATTTGATCACCTTACTACTACTAAAATTACATTTCAAGTATACAGTTCCAGTTCTACCCAAACAAAGGACTTTAGACTCCAATATCAGCCTGAAAAATTTAAGTTTTTCCTAAGCTCTTTTATTAGTTTTATCCATAAGAAGGACATCACCGACAAAAAGCATATACCAAGATGCATCCTCCTGTAAGCAAAAATATATGTGTTTAAAGTCGATCCTTGATGTAATTAGGGCTGTTAATGATCCAATTTTGAGCCGAGCTAGGGTCAGTTAAAACTTGGCTCGAAAAAAATTCAATCCAAAGTTCTGGCTCATAGCTCCGCTCGCCTATTTCGATATGTTCTCGATTTGATCCAAAATTCAAATCAACTTTTTGAGTGATTAACGATCTTCGAGCAAAATTCAAAGTCATATATTCTTAACGATCCGATTTCGAGCTGAGCTGGGGTCGGCTGAAAACTGGCTTGAAAAAATTTGAGCCAAAATTTTGGCTTGTAACTCGGCTCGTTTATTTCAATTCGATCTTGATCTAAGCCAAAATTCGAATCAATCTTTGAGCTATGAACGATGTTCGAGCTAAACTCAGCCCTTAATGTAATCCAAATGAAATAGAAAAATATTTAACAAACCTCTTAGTTGCTAATTCCTAAACACTAAAAACCATTCTTTAAAGAAAATGTAAATAAAAATGAAAATGAACCATTTCGGGTAGTAGAGGGTCGCTATAAGTCACGATCCCGTCGCCGTGTTCCCAGCTAGCTTCTATTCCAACTGTATCACGAGGGATTTAGGCATGAGGGCGATGGTTTCGGGGAGAAGAAGAGTGGCTTCAGGCGGAGGGCTTCGGGGAGAGGCTTCAAGCGGAGGGCTTCGGGGAGAGGTGAGTGTTTCAGGTAGAGAAGACGAGGGTCGCGAGACAGGTTAGGGCAAGATATATGATTGGTTTCGACAGCCTATCAACGACTTTAATTGCGTCGGTTATTAAAACTATTACCGACGGTCATTTACTTCGCTTATTAATAAAATGCGTTGGTTAAAACCTCGTCTAATGGTCGATTTGAAGATAACCGACGAACAATAGCTGTCGATTAATATTTTCCTATTACAGACGGATTATTCCTTCAGTTATAATTAAAAGCAGTCGGAAAACAAAATACTGTTTATAAGTGACGGTTTATGTTGTAATTATGTCGATGCAAATAACCAATATAAAATACTGTCGCAAAACCGCCAGTAATTAGAACAATTTTTCTGACGTGTAAAAAACTGTATGTTTAGCACTTTTTTTCCTGAAATTGATTTTTGTATAAATAAAACGATTAGTATCCAAATTAAAACTAATAAGAGTACACTACTAAATTTTCTCTCAAAATTGTATAAGTAAACCAGCTTATAATCGTTACACTCCATAAACAAAGGTATATGATTGATATACTAATATGAATGAATAAATAATTAGGTGATGACAATTTGACCACCAAAATTAGCATAAAAGATTGATTGCAATGCCGAAAATTTGCTATGCTTAAATATATTTTTTTATCGATTATTTTGGTCTTAATAAAAGTTAGGAGATAATAATTTTATCAAGATTAATTTGTTTAAAAATTCAGTTTTTTTTTCTTAAGAAAATTTTATCAAGATTTTTAAAAGTTATAAGCTTTAGCCCCTTACTTTTAGTCTTATAAGTGTGTGTGTGTGTTTTCATTTGTTAAGTTTTCAACAGAATTTCTTAGTGCGGTATTGTGATAAGTTTTTTACAAATATCATTCCAAATATTTTTCTTTTTTGATCTCTTGAATTGTGCCATGTTTTGCTCCAACCATATGATGGAAAGTGAAAATTCTTTAGTAAGGATAATATTCTTGGTAAGTCTTAGCATTATTTATTATTTCATATCTTCCGTGCTTCAGTTTAAACTTCTACTAATACTTCTTCACTTTGGGAAGTAGAATTAACTCTAGGATTTGAATGAAATTCATCCAAATCTTTATTGAGACTCATAAAAAACTTATAGGTTCTAAATTTTTAAAACTGACAAAAATATGCATGTCCTCACAAAATGGATCAGATTAACTTTGTCAGGAAATAGACGGAAACTGTATGACATTTTTTTCTTATAAAATATCATTAATAAGTATACAAAATAAATGTTTTTATTATTTTTTACAGGCTATTCATGATCTATAATTATGAGAATCTAATATAATATATAAGGATGTGACATGGTCATCTAAAGGTACTAAGGAGAAATGTGTAATAATATTAGTTTTATTTATTTATAGTGATTTATCAAATAAATCATCTTGATATTAATGATATTTTTGTAATGTAGACACAAGCTTGTACGATGTTAGAGATGAAAGAGTTAGCACTTAAAGACGGTAATATAGAAGCAAATGAGTGGGCGTTAATGTTGTCATTATCCTGAACACTCTGAAAGGTTACCAACCCAGGGATTTGAAGTCACTCTAACTCATTTTTTTTTATACAACATCACAACTACAGGTGAAAGCAACAATAGGTTTATTTCTACTTGAGCTGAAAGATTGAAAATGAAATATGATCCTTATGATATGAAATGAGATAATTCATATATTTATGTGGTCGAATTATCAGCCACAATAAGGATTACTCTCTGTATGTTGCTTTTTTAAGTATTGAAGTTTCTTATTTATTTTTAATTATTTTAATATTATTAATTGATTGTGTGTTAGCTATTGATAGTGATGCAATGAATCTTAATCTCACGCAAACATCATTTCTGCTTTTTGCACTTTAGTGTATTTGGGTTTGTTTATTGTAAGATAGCTGAGCTTATCTCCTGGACTGCTAAATATTTTGATGTTTAAGAGATGCTACTACTTAGTTCATATGATTTTGGGCTCACTACATACTTTTTTTCTAAGTTGTTGGAGGCTGAACTGATACATTTATATATGTTTTGATGTATTTGAGATATTCGTACTTTTTCATATGAATAATCTATATTGATTTATTGAATGGCTTCCATATTTGAGGCATGTACATGCATACCACCCATTTCTATGTATTGATATCTAACACATATTTCAATTTTTATAAGTTTAGTATAAAGAACAAATGTAAAAATTGAAGTTTCAATGTTATACACAAATACTTAGAATTGAGTGTTATGTATGAAAATTCTTTCATATATATATTTGTTATTTTTTTGTACATTCAATATGTGTATAAATAAAAACTAATAAAAACAAAAAAAATTTGAAAATAGTAACTTTCAAAATCGCTGCAAAGACTACTACAATTAAAACCGCTTCGAAAATCATGACAGCTAAAAACCCTCCCCAACTGTTTTGAAAATGTTTTGATAAGCCTTTGCAACACCAACAATTGGACACGGTTAAAACTGCTGCAAGGAAAATAATAGTTAAAATTGTTGTAAAAGTTAAAAGCCAAAAACATTCTGAGACAACTGTTGATCTAAGACTTTGCAATGCTAATAATTAATAGGAGTTAAAACCGCTGCATGCCAATAACAGAAAACTGCTTTTAAAGTCATCACAGTAAAAAATATTTCGTGATGGTTTTAGAACTGCTTCGATGAAAATAGGTGGTGGCTTTACCGTTGCCATAGCGTTTATAAAATGTTTTAAAACACATTTTTTTAGTAGTGATATACCATTATTTTAGTTTGTAGAAGTGAAATAAACTTTTGCATGCGTATATATAAATACAGATGCGCGTGTGTATTTATATGTGTATACCTTTTTCAAAGAAATTAGGGGTGGAACATATTAATTACATATCCAACACTCAAAGGTTTGATATTTACAAATACAATACTTTTACAATTATAAATCTATTCATAAGAAACGCATTTCACTTCAAAAAAAATAATGAGGATGCTATTTTGGACGTGAGGTTAAATATTATGGTGATATGCATGCAAATATGATTTTCTTGGCGGTAGATGTTTAAATGCAAATGAATTGTGCAGTATTTATGTAAATGCTCTTAAATTTAGTTCAGATAAATTTAAAAGCAAAAAAATATGACTAAAAATTGTGTACATGCGGAACAAAATTAACATCGAATAATTTCAAAATCGATAAATTTACTTAAAAATAAATATAAGCATTAATGATCAAATAACCATCCATTTTTATAATATAGTTATAAAATCCAAACATAAATCCTCCAAAGCATTACCACTCGTCAAACCTCAAACCCCACCACGCGTCGTTTAATCCCTCCCCTCCTTTCCTTCCTTATGACACACGTCAGAAGCACCGCTGCATGCGCCTCAGTCCACTCAGGCATATAACTTCACTCCCACAATCCAGATCTAAACAACTATAAACAATCCACACATGGCAGATAACAGTCGAGGACGACATCGCTGGGGCCAACTACAGCAACAGCAACAGGTCCAGTATCCTGTTTCTTACCAGATCATGAAAGCGGCCGCAGTTGCAACGTTAGGTGGATTGATGCTGCTCTTTTCAGGTCTAACCCTGACCGGCACGGTGATAGCGCTCGCCGTGGCTACGCCACTTCTTGTGATCATCAGCCCGGTGCTCGTGCCAGCTACAATCGCCGTCGCGCTAATCGTCGGCGGGTTTTTGGCTTCGGGAGTGTTTGGCGTTGCGGCGATCTTGGTGCTTTCTTGGATGTATAGGTATGTTACGGGGAAGCGGCCCGTGGGCGCAGATGAGATTGATAAAGCTCGGGTTATAATCGCGGCCAGAGCTCGCGAGTTTAAGGAATCGGTGCAGCGGCGCATCGAGCGGGCCACGTCTTAAAAACTTGTATATGTTGAATCGCTCTGCATTTTATTCTTTTTTGTAAGTTTCCTTGGCCGTCGATCTCTCTAATTGGAGCGTTCCCGAGCAAGCGTCTGGTGGGTTTGGCTTTTTAGATTTTGGATATCAATCGAAAGGTTGTTGCACTGACGGCAATGCAATGTTCCAATTTTTAAAATAGTTTAATTCTGAGGCATATACAGACATATCACACAATTTTTATGTAATTATTTATCGAACAGTTGAAAGTTAAATTTTTATTACTTTTATGACAGTTTAATTTTATTTAAGAAGCAAAGAATCATTTTGTAAGTGTAAGTAAAGTAATATAAAGTTAAAAATTAAAATTTTGTACTTGAAACTTTATGGAAATTTATCCAACACAAATATTTGTGTCGGCTTTGTGTATGATTTACGCAGCTATCATTATTAATGACAAAATTTGCATCGGCATATACAAACGAAACAATTTTACGTCAATATTAATAGTGACATTATTCATTTTTATCTTTGTCACATAATACCGGAAGGATTTGCGAACATGAAAGTTGGCGCGAATTATCTATCGTAGGAAAGAAACGATGTGCATATGACATCCTGCTCTTCAAATCTAAACTCTGCGTCCTCCAAGCTCTTTTGTGCTGTCCACTATTTTTATTGTTTTAAGAGGATAGATGCACGACCTTCTGTCTAAGTGAGGCCTCCTTTCAATGGCTAGAGCCGAACATCGAAGAACGGGAGAAGTTGGGGGATCTAAATTAGAGTTGGAATGGGAAAAGTGATGTGATGGTTGGGAGGCGCCCAGGCGGTTTCTAGGAGGGCGCCCAGGTAGTTTCTAGGAGGGCGCCTAGGCGCCACTATAGGTGGCGCCTCAGTATGAAATGCATGAGAGAAAATGGGGAAAGCGTCTAGGCACCACCTTGAGTGGCGCTATGGAATTGGGTAGAGTACCACATACAGGCATGGATGCATCCAAGGAGAAGGGGGTGGGGTGCCTAGAAGCCACCTTTAGTAGCCGGGTGAAATGGCGCACGTTTGTTGTCTCCAGGCGCTAGTGCGACCAACATATTAGGGCAGCGTCACTGCGCCCTATGATTTTTGGCCAAAATGACGACCCCAGCTCACCTGTAAGAGAAAAAAAAATTAAGGAATACAATTGTGCAATCATTTTGGTTGAAGTGGTTTCTATGTCATGGATATCTATGTTACAGGCCCCCTCTTACGAGAAAAAAAAATTATAGTTTTGATGACAATTTAGAAAAAATTTAAATTAGTTGATTTTGATTTTTTTCAGCTATATTTTGAGCTGGAAATTGATTTAAGTTTATTTCAAGGGCAAAATTATAATTATCATCCAAATCATCTTAATTATTGTCCAATTTAACGTAGGTTAGATGACCCCCAAAATGAAATCTAATTTTGACTATGAGAGGCCTAATTGAAAGGTTTTGATGATTGAGACATATTTTGTGAAATCACCTTTGTAAAACAACGCTTCGATGAAAAAAAAATTATGTGGGAACAATTCTCATGCACGAAGACTCACCATGCAAAATTTCATGTAAAATGTTGGTCGATAGTCATCAAAACGTATTGCATGTTATTTATACATTCACAATTACTCAAATGTAGCTTATAAAATGAAGTCCTAAGCACTATGATAATCTGTAGAGAATAATTATTATGGGGCATAAAAATGATAATTTTGGAATATTCCCTTATCTGGCTTCATTTTGGTCCAATTTTAGAACTTGATTAAAGTTAAATATGTTTTATTTCTATTTTATATGATTTTTTTAAGTTTTTTTTGGATATTTAAAGCGAATAGGGAGAACCAAAAGTGAGGTCAACAAATGAACCCTCAATATGTGTGACAGAATATTCAAAGTATGACGCACATATTGAGATTGACGTTGATGACCAATTGAGTCTAGAAATAAAAGTGTTGATATTCTTTGAATTTGGATTTTGGATTTGGGATGTGATATGAAGATTAAAATTTTGATTTGAATGATTGATAATTTGGATTTTGGATTTGGGATGTGATATGAAGATTAAAATTTTGATTTGGGATATGAATGATTGATTCATATCGACAAGATTCATTTGAGACTCAAAATGGGAATTTGAGTACATATTGCTTGAAAGTTTAATTTGAACTTTTAAGAAAGGAAGCTACTAGGGGACTTACTCCTGACCTACACAAGGCAATAAGAGTAATGTAAGGATCGATAATGACCTTTGGTTGTTTTGTGGGGGGGCAATATCTGGGGCCTTGTTCAAACAACGAAGAACCATGCCAACCTGTTTTCTTCTAGTCTACACTAGACACACATAAAAATCCTAACTTTAGGGTATACAATCCCCATACTAGAATCCATCCTAGATTTTCTTTGCGAAGTTGCAGTTCTTTTTGTGAGTGGTATCAAAATAAAAAAAAAATTGACAAACCTGAGAAAGGAACAATATCTTATCTTTACTGTGTGATGAGTTAAACTAAGTAAAGGAACCTTTGAGAGAGTTACCTTAACTCATAATTACTAAACGAAAGGATTAACCTACATCAGCAACGTGAAAGTTACAAGGCCAATGAGCATAATCACATCATGATGGTGCTACAAAGAGCATACAACTTAGATGGATCCTAAGTTAAATCTGTGAAGAGGAATGGTCAAACTTAGAATAGGTCTAACCACATTAACAATGATGTGTTCAATGAATATACAAGAGAATAGATATGTTGACCATTGTTCGCATCCATTTTTGATGCAACGAATGCAGGACCCCCTTTTTGAGTGACATGGAACTATATTGGTGGTTGTACATTGCCCATTGTGACCGAAGGAGCCCTTAGGACCTTTAAAAAAATGCTTCAGGCATTACAATTGAGGTCTGCATTGTCATAACTGCGCTCCAAGTTGATCTTTGTAAAACTGGCATCACTTTCTATATCTTTTTGTGTTGACACTTGTTTCTATGATACGGGGCAGTACATTGTTGATATAAACATCCTCATGATTTAGATCACCAAAAAAATTAACCCACACCATGTTCATGCCTTAAGGCCAAGGTCTGGATAGACGGATTTCACATTGGAACCGTTCTTACTCAGTGACATGCATATGAAGCATCTTCTAATGCTCTTTAGATGCACATACGACACCTATAGGCGTATGAGAATCACGAATCGCTCATTTTTTATCCTTCGAGGATCCCATGAGGCCTGAAACCCCCTTGCCGAGCTTTTCAGATGCCCAAGTTATAAGGGGTCTGTGGTGATCACACCAAATTCAGGCGTTGCCACGCCCAACTCATGGCATGACCACACCTAAATTGGTCGTGGACATGCCAAAGCCTCTCAAATGGCTTGAAAGTATTGCTTTTTACGTCGACCATACAGATACTTTAGCGTAATTATGCTGGGGTGTGAGCGTGGCCACGCCCAAATCACGAGAGGAACCTAGGTCCCTAGACTGGCGTGACCATGCCCAAGGATGGCATGGCCATGCCGACCAGAGAGAGAGAGTTGACAAAATTGCGCTGGCTCTCTGGCATGACCATGCCGACCACCAATTTGTGAGATTTCTATAGTGGTGTGACCATGCTCAAACCCAACATAACCACGTCGGTTCAACCCATCTCGTAAATTTTGTCCTCTTACCCCCAATTTTTTCCGACGAAACGAACATGACATGTGTTTTATGCCTTATTGCCTAGTTCTTCACCCAAATAGTGCATAGGAAGTGATTTGGGCCCATTCCAAATTTTGAAAGTAGCTTGGAACCATAGGGTCTACTCCCTACAACAACTACCATTTATGTTGAGGAGTTGAGCATGCACAAGGGATAGCTTGGGAAGGAGCTTGCAAGGAGATATTTTAGGGATTCTTCATCATCTTTAAGGAGATGCTAAGGGAAGCCATTTTCCTTCATCTTCTTCATTTTTTCCTTCATTTCTATGGTCTTCTTCTTCCTCTCCGGTGACTCCCCGCAGGTTCAGCCTGGGAGAGCTTCTTCCTAGCTTTAAAGAAGGAGAACTCTCGTGATCTAGTCAGCCACCCTCTCCCGTGAGGAGATCTTCTTCACTTCTTTGAAGAATGAGAAACTCCAGCGAGCCCTACATTATATCCTGCGAAGAGAGCTTCCTCATCACGTGGAGGAAGGGATCTAGTTATCTTCTCTCCTAAAATGAGGAGAGCTTTTTCCTATGAAAGCAATGTCAGAGCATCGACAAGCCCAGAGAAACTTTCGATCAACCATCACGTAAGGAAAATCAGTTAATCTCTCATTATTTTCATTTCTAGAGCCCCTAAGTCTGGAAGTTAGAGGAGCTAGGTTAGGATTTGTGTGCTTAGAGGAAGCCCCATGGGATTATGTACTTTGTGTTCCCTTCAAGAATCTAAAGAGTGAAAGCTATCTTTTTTTTTCCTGCCCTAAATCTGAAAGTCGGCATTGTATTAATCCTACTATTTGCTTCGGTGATTTCATCTGGATGAACGATTAAAATGCACTGACCGAGAAGACAAAGACACTCTTTTGACCATTATCTTCTCGACCGTGGAGAATCCTCCTTACAAGGGATTCCCCATTTAGCGTTGTGCAAATGGAGGTGGGCATCATGTTTCCTCACACAATATGACATTTTTACAACCCTACGTCTCCCATGAGTTTGTTGGGATGAGCATGATCAATTATCAGAGCTAATTGGGCTTTATTTTGCATGTGTTTGCATTTTAATTGTGTGTGTTACATGAATTTTAAAATGTGCATTAAAAACATCCCTTCAAATTATGTGACTCTTAGGCGCGACCTTCTCAGTTTTCCTGGCGCGTAAGCACCAGTTCTGGGAGCTTAGGTGTCACAGTTCTTTTGCACACCTTCATTTTTGCTCCAAATTTGAGTATTTTTCACTCCTTTCACCATTTTCATCCATTTGATTGTATGATACACAAAAATAATATACTATTTTAAGTACCTTTTTTATGCCTATTTTTGGTGATATTACACTTTAAAGAACGGTATTTTTGTGCTTTTGTTGCATGTATACCATTCTTAAGCATTTGGAGCAAAAATGACAAAAGAAGCAAAATTTCGAGCAAAAACAGACAATTTTTTGGGGTTGGCGCATGATGGGACAAAATCCAGAGCGCTGGCACATGATGCGCCAGAAGCGACTTTTTCAAATTAAGGTGGTTTGAGATGAATTTTA